GAGGATGCTTGTCAAATTGGAACTGCAGCCTTTCAAAACATTAAAACATAAAAATGCAAAAAAAGTTACACAAATGTAAGGAATAACTTAATATCTCTCTTTTTTTAATGAGATCTAAAACTTAAGAAGATGCATACATTTCCCTGTCACACAGGGTGCACGTGATGAAATAATGTATATAATATAGGCAGTGCCTATACATCCTTTTCAAGCAAAGGGTATGGGAGTCTGTATAGCTCCCAAGCACATGATGGGAATGTTAAGAGTTCCCTGTGCTAAATGAACTATTAGAAGGTAGCATCCAACTTTGTTTTCCCACCTCCTTCCTTACTGACAGCACTTATTGTGGCAAGTGCTGACACACTTCCACTTTGGCTTTAGTCATTATCAATTAGTGGTAATTGAATGGACCCCATGAACTGTAAAAGAGTTTGCTGAGTGATTGTTCCAAATTTTTAAAATTTAGAGGTCCAAATTTCTCTACCTGTTATTTAACTGGTTTATTTTGGTCTCATATTACAAAAAGGAGGTAGTGAGTTCAAGTTTTTTTTCTTCTTCATCTCAGGCAAAAAGAAATCAATCTGTGGCCTAATTAAGAAATGTTTCATCTGATATCAGACAATGGCAAGAATTGTGTCTATCATACTGTCTTTAAATATGTTTTTTATATTTCAGACAATGGTGACTCAAGGGTTGTTTGGCTGCTATTGAGAGAACAAGTAAGGAGAAAATCCTCACATATCTTGTACTATCAGGAATTTAATATCCTTTTTTTAACTGTAAATTGATTCTAAGAAGCTAGTGGAAAGCTTATAGGGACGTACTGTATGGCTTCCACAGGTGGCAATTTACACCGAATGCAATTTTTCAATTCCGTGATTGTCTACGTAACATGTTTGCATTTAGTCATGTTGCGATGTGTCCAGATGTCTGCAATTGACCACAAATATATATTTTTCTCAATTTCCAAAAGCACAGTAACATTGCCAAATTTCGGATAGTATTAAAATTGTATATAATTTTAAACGATGTGTATAGTATGGGGATATAAAGACTCAACATCATCTGATAACTCTTTCTGTTGCTAATGGATGTTTATTGACTACTAGAATGAAACCACAGTGAGTATTCCTTGTCTGCAAACACTGTAGCTTTCTCTGGTGTTATGGATACATGTCGATACCCCCGCCTTCGCTCAAACGCATCCCTTCAGACTTAGAGCATCCGTCCGCTACCTCTACATCCTCTTTCCCCAGCCTTTATCCCTCCATCTTACCTATTGATTGAACTAATAATGTGTTTTTAGCAGCAGATTAATGGCACATTATCCTAACGAGGGTGTCTGAAGGGACAGGACGTGAGGGAGAGTGTTAGAGATGATGCTGTTTAATTGGTTCACAGTCTGTGTTTGTGTGCCAAAGTTTTCTAAGTGTGATGTTTTTAAGACTGGTAATGAAAGAAAAATCCTATTTTTATTATTATTAAGGAAACCTCTAAATGCATATAAATCATTATGAATAATGAGTTATGGTCTTGTTTTAACTAAGTGTTTTTCCAAAATCCAAGCTAAAGCAAAAAAAAAAAAAAGGCAACATATGTAAAATTGTTGTTGGACAGTCTAGACTACATTTTACATAAAACTTAAGCAGAAATCAGATTGTCCTTTTGTAATTACCAGTATCTTACAAATAAAGACACTATTACTTCAAGACAATCTTGGGACTTTAACTTTTTGTCTTTATTTCTATACAATCGTATGAAATTTAATGCAAACCTGTTGCTACATTAAAAATAGGAAGATATTTTTAAAAACCAAAGAAAAGTATTAAAAAACTAACGTTTAATTCCATGCACTTGCAATATCACTTATCACTTATGTTGTACAAATTAGTTATGCACTTTTACTTCCACACAGCTATCCTTACAATTAACGTTTGGACAGGTTCCAGCTGGGTCTCATCTTTTCTCATCCTTACACTTTTATGCTACCCTCTTAGTCTGCATCACTCTCTTTTATCGGATCCATCCCCACTGGCATTTTTTTGTCAATTTCCTCTGGCAATTTGCATTTATGGATAGTGGTGTTGATATGTGTGTGTGTGTGTGTGTGTGTGTGTGTGTGTGTGTGTGTGTGTGTGTGTGTGTGTGTGTGTGTGTGTGTGTGTGTGTGTGTGTGTTTGGGGGGGGTTGCTAAATCTGTAGATCAATAGGCCATCTAGCACCCCTTAAGACTAACATGAAAAGGCATTGCATTTCAAGTTTCCATGTCTAACTGATTGCCTCGTTTACTGAACAGGATGCTGCATCAAGTAATTTTGATCTAGGGTTTCCCTACACTGCTTTGGGACACCCTGGTGAATCTGCACAGAGAACAGGTCAGTGTCAGACAAAGCTGGCACAACCATGTCTGAAGGTTTTTTTAGTTATTTACTAGACAGCTGTAGGTCTTGAAGAACTTAACCTTTCTTTTCTTTGCTTTGACTTGTGTGAATCCAGACGCTCTATCCCATCCTCTTGGTCAATGACCTCTGTCAGATGACCGAGAGAGGTTAAGAGAGGTTAAAGAAATGGGTGAAACCAACCAAGGGGCCCCCAGCAAGTCATGCAAAAAAGGTCCGCCAGCAAGGTTTACACTGAGACACACTTGGAGTTTCTTTCCACCTCATTTTCTTTTTGGGAAACAATGGGGACCCTCGGCTACAGCAGAGCAAAGACCCATGCAGCAATACAAACAGGACCATAGTTTTTCCAACACAAACACACACTCATCAAGCGGTTTTCTTCCTTTCTTCCCACTCCCTCCCTTGTAGCACAATTTCCCTCCTCGGCCCCTTTTTCATTCAGACATAATCAACACAGTCGGGCTTGAGTGCACAGATTACAATAATGAGCTATGGCAAGGCAGGAGGCGAGAGGGAAGCACAGTGAGAGTAGGAGAGGGATAGTGGGGTGATAAAACGACAAGATCTGAATGGCTGAAGCAATTAGCTCTACTTACAAGTTATAGAGCATTGAGTTAATGTGCAAAATTAAATAAATCAAATGTTTTAAATGACTTTTCGCACTTTTAAGCATATTAAGCATTGAAAATTGATGCTTTAAAGATGGTGTTATCTTCTCCAACAAGTAAAAGGTAATGGTTGTTAATACAGGAGTGTGCCACATCTTGTACATGTGAGTAGATGCAGAGGATTGTGGGTAGAAAGGAGAACTGAGGATTGAGAACACAAGACAGCCACATATTTGTAATTTGCCTCTTATCTCTAAAAAACATTTGGCTACACTCTATTCATTCAAATAGAAATAAAGCAGGAAAGATTAAAGTCCTTTTTTCTGTTTTGTTTGTTACATTTTTATGCCCTAAGATCTTACATGTAAGGATTAAGTGAGGTGTGAAAAACAAGGTTAGGTTGGAAGGTTAATTCTGATTAAGCCAATCAGTTTAAACATTTTAATACAAAATGTAAAAATATTTATAAATTATTAATGAAAAACTGCTTGCTAAGCTTATTTTCTTTTTGTTTGTTATGCATATAAAGATTGCATTTATTTTCTGACTGTATGAGTGCATGAGGTTCAAATAAATATCTTAAGTCAGAAGATATGCTACAGAATTTAACAAAAAAAACAGCAAAAGATAACAAATAAAGAAACAAGTGAAATTCTAAAACTAAATATAAGATGCAAGAATTTATCTAAAATGCTTAAAACTTTTTGCATTTTAAAGGAAAAACAAACATTTGTTTCTAAGAAAATGTTCTTTCAGATTCAGAGGTATTCATTTATATATAATAACTATTTCTCACATTTGTCTAAACTTATTATGCTGATCTTGTGTTCTTCCTGTTGTTATTTTTCTTATTATTATTATTACTATAATAATATTGTATATTTATAATATCTTGTTGTAAACATTCAAATACCCAACAATAATAACAATAGTAATACTTAAAAATCACCTTTTTTCTTTATGTTCGTAATACATCTGTGTCATTTTCAGTTCTTAATGTTAAATAAAATATGTTTCTCATTTTTGCACATTGATCTTTTTATATTAAGCGCTTTACTAAACTTTTATCCTGATTAATTAAATTTTCTCTCCTTTTTACTCTCTGTTTGTGTTTAATATCTTGATTAAGATTTTATTTTTATGGATAGAGTTTGTTTTATGCCTTATAAAGTATAGTAATTATAGAAAGTACAGTTATCTTTTGTTAAAATATAAACCTATAGTGACTATGTGGAGAAATTGCTTTAATTATGTTTTTCACAGGCTGACCTGCTGGTGAGACATGGATTAGATGTACTTCCAAGTAACAACATAAACCTCAGCCTTTTTTTCTGCATCAACCATTCCCTAGATCAGCAACTTCCCCTATTTACTGTCTAAGTAAGGCAAAGAGTCATCATCAAACTACTCATCTAACATATTGCACATTGCATAATTAATACAGATGCAGTGCATTCACACACAAATGTAGGCAGGCGTGCGTTCCAGACCTCTTGTCTCCATGTGATCACCATCTGAAGTTGTACTGGTGACTTTGGATTTAACAGGAATACATCTGTGTTTAATTAAATAAGACTATCTAATCGTTGTGTGCTACTTTTACATTTTTATTCTTACTCATATCCAAGCATCTCCTCATATTTATAACTGCTTTATGATACTTTTAAATATTAGCAAATAAAGTAGTATTTAGACTAATATATTCTGATTTGAAAATGATATTTCTGAACAAGTTTCAGTTTTTTGATTACTACTATTGACACTGTCAATTTTTTTATTTTTTTAAATAAAATGAATGATTTTATAAATATTATTTTTTTTTTTATCTTTTTTACTTTTTGAGACTTGGGTTCGCTTAGTTGCATTTTCTTCACAGCCATAACATAAAATATATATATGTGTGTTAAAATACAACTTAGTTCACATTACTCATTTCCATTGTTTCTCGAACCGTTTAATTTTAAGTAAAAGAAAAAAAAAACAGAATTAACCCTTGGCAAAGTGGAATAAAGAAAGAATATATTTTAAGAAGGAAAATAAAACACGTGCGTAAAACTAAATAAAATGTTAATTACATTCATTTAAATACATAGCTGTAGCATTAAAAATCATGACAGAAAACGCATGCAGATAGGCTATAGTAATAATTTCTTTGGTGGCTTAGGCTGCAGTTGATGATAAAATAATTACAAAATACTAGTATGCGGTAAACAATAATGTGTTTTAGGTCTTCTGAGCTATGTAACTTGTTTTGTACCAGAGGTACTTTCTTCAACTGGACATAAATAATGCTGAACATGCTTTAAGTACATGATAAGAAACTAATTTGCTGTCTTTAGACTTGCAGTCTTCATAAAAAATAACGACAATTGCATTAAAAAATGTTTTGGCCACAAAATGTCTCAGACGCTCAAAAGACTTGGCGAGAAAGTCACCAAGAAGATTGTCTCGTTTAGTCAGGGAGCAGCGAAAAAGCTGTCATACATCCCCATCGTACAGACTCAGGTACTTGCTGGCGCTAGAGAAGCAGAGGTAAGGTGCGCTGCTCCCTGGGTAAACCAGCGGCAGAGGCATTGGCAGCAGACATCTTCCCAGCAGGTTGTTCTCTTTATACAAGGCGGGTAGAGTCCCCCCCGCTGCGGGTTTCCCTGCCTCGGGGAAATCTCTGACCGGTCCGTCGATCTCGGTAGAGATCTGGCGCTTCAGTTTATTCCTGCGGTTCTGGAACCAGATTTTCACCTGGGTCTCTGTCAGCTGTAGGGAGCTGGCCAGGCACGCGCGCTCTGCGCTGCTCAGGTAGCGCTTCATGTCGAAGGTAGACTCCAACTGGAAAATCTGTCTCTTTGAAAAAATCGTACGCGTCTTCTTTTTCGTTACTATTTTGCTCTTTTTATTGGGGCTCCCTCCTCTATGGAGCTCCAGAGAAGCCTCCGGTACCGTGGCGGTGGTGGTGATGGAGCCGCTGTCCTCGCAGCTGCTGTCTCCGCTGTCAAAGCGCGTCTTTCCCTGGTTCCCGCAGTCTGCTGCTCCACTGCAGCTACTCACCAGTTCTAGAAATTCAGTAAAACTCACTTAAACAAGCCCTTCTAGTTTCCCTGTCACTCAGATTGTAAAATCATGATATATTGTGTAAAATCTCTTACCACTTTGCCTCAGCCTGCTTCCCGGATCCGGCCTTTGCTCTGGGACTGGTTCATCCTGACAGCTGCCACAGTTCGTCTTCAGGTTTAGGATGTTGTCAATAGTGAACTTTAGAGGAGCGGTGGGTCGACATGGTCCTTCTGCTTTGTTCATATTCTCCTTTGTGAAACTTTAATTCACCCTCCACCTCAGACTGTCTCTCTACACTCTGGTTCGGGACGTTATTCTCTCCGCTGGCGGTGGGACTGTCCTCGCAGCATAGCAGCAGCCTCTAAGCAGTCACTGCTGAGCTCTGCAGGCGCTGTTAGCGCTCTCACCGGAGAGAGCTCTTGGTCCCCCCTGATTGGCTCAGAGAATTAGTAATATGAACCAATCAGAGAGCGTGATTAGATGGGAGCGCAGGTTTGCTGTTCATCTGACGTTTTCCTAGAGCTGATGCTCAAAGAGCCACTAAAGATAAAACAAATGCTCATTCAATTACTCTAAATAAACATTAACGGTATACTATCGTGAATTTTCCTGACACCCCTGTACTTTCATTTAGTTGGATTTTTTTGTTGACATGATCTAAACTCCCAGTTATAGTGTCATTTTTATTTTATGATGTTCTTTTATTATGTGTTAGTATATATATATATATATATATATATATATATATATATATATATATATATATATATATATATATATATATATATATATATATATATATATATATATATAAACTGTATTAGTTATCGTCTCTAAGCGTTTAAGTGAAAGAAAGAAAGAAAGATTAGCCTTTAAGTTTCTTTAAGAAAAAGCCCTTTTTTTCTAGCTATATATATATATATATATATATATATATATATATATATATATATATATATATATATATATATATATTTGGTTTTTTGCCTCCAGACAGCTGCTTCAGGTGTTGTCACATGCGAAACGGGTCATCTAAGGTGTCGAGACAGAGCCCCTTTAAGGAATTAAACTAATAAACTAAATAACTTTAAGGCATATGTTTTCTTGAAGTTTATTTTTAAATGCTACACTGGGTTTTTAGGTTAGGATCATGAGAACACAATAAAAACAAAGGACAGTTTTGCAATATACATATTCTTTTATTTTTATGTGAAAAATTGACAAAGATTAAAAAAAAAAAGTGTGACTTTAAATAGGCTATAAAACTTTGCAAAAATACGTGTATCTAAACACACAGAAAATCCAGCCTGCTGTTGCCAGCTTATCTGATTGCAGCACACGCTATAGAGTCTCAGGAAGAGAAATATAGAATTTCTTAAGAGTTGAAATTCTTTGCTTCGTATATTTGGAGCCAGAAAACAGATTCCCTGCAGTGTTTTTGGTTTATTGCACATTGATATCAACTGAGTGAGTCTGAGTGAGTTTGCGGTGTCTTAAACCAAAGCAGTCATCTGCGAGCTTAGCATGTTCACAGGATGAGAAAAGGGCGACAAAGGATGACTGACGGCCCAGGAAGGAGAAACTGAATGTCCGTTTATGCAAAAACCAAAAACACCGGTGGGAGTTTGTCCTTCGTGATACAGGATCGGCACCCTGACTATCCGCTGGGTTGGGTTCGGGATGTTGACGGCCTCCAGGTCCGCCGCCAGCTGCCTTTTCCATTTATTCCTTCTATTCTGAAACCAGATTTTCACCTGCGTCTCGGTCAGGTGGAGGGACGCAGCCAGGCCCGCTCTCTCTGAGCTGCTCAGGTAGCGCTTTAAGTCAAATGTGGACTCCAACTGGAACACCTGGCTGCGGCTAAACACAGTCCGAGTCTTTTTCTTACGGCCGGAGTATGAACCGGACGGTGCGTCAGGGTCTTGCCGTGCGTCCAGTACATTTGACGCGTCCTCGGTGTCGTCCGTGGGGCTGCAGTCGGCCGTCTTATGGTCGATATGATCGCTGCTCTCAGTTATCGGTTCTGAAACGACAGGGGAAGCCCTGTCGCTGATCGATGATGCACAGCAAGGCTCCTCTGAAGTCGGGCCTGAAAGAGAAATAGCGAAGAAGCTGTCAAGGAAGGGGCTGGTTACAATTTTTATTATTATTATTATATTTTTTTTTTGTGGGCATCAGAGAGTGTTGGTCCCTGACCAAAAGTTATTTCTACATATGGAAACTACAATAGATTGATGTTATGTGCATATGTATTTCTAGAAATCCCTACATCCACACACCTAAAACTATACCTGCAGGCCTTTGACGATTTAAACCCAATACAGTACACTGCAAAAAAAATGTAAATCTAAATACGTTTTTCTTGAATTGAGGAGGTAATTGAGACACGAAATAAGACAATTTCCATTTAAAATAAGAAAACACAATTGCATTGTCTTATTTCAAGTGCATATTATTTAATTATTTTATTTTAAGACACAAAAATATTAATTCCATTGGCAAATTATCTTATTTACCTGCTCAAATTAATGGAAAATACACTTAATTAAAGACATCTTTGCTCATTTTAGATCCCTTTTGCAGTGTAAGTCCAAAAAAGGAAGAGAATACAAGAAACATGTTTTTTAAACTTGCTGTTTCTACTAATTTCGCTCACACACATTTAAATGAGTGATTATTACTATTACAAAATATTTCTTAAATGTTGCAAAGGTAAAAAAAAACACAATGTACAGCATACTGATATAAGCATGTACTTATTTTAAAACATCAAAAACAATGTTGTATGTATACGCAGTAAGATAAGTCTAGTAAGTAATATTAAAGTGCGATATTTTCACTATTTAAAGAGGGCACTCTAAACTGCGTCCCCCTGGTGGCACAAACTGACACATGGCCGCCTAAAGACACGCTGTCGAGCGGCTCCATTGAGAACATGAACGTGTCTAATAAACTGACCGAAACTAATACTTTTAAATTGTGAAGGAAAGTAAATGGGAGGAGGTCAAGTTTTACGATCTTTCCTCTGGAGAATTCCTGCAGCCCAAGGCTCCTTATGTTGTACAGACATGACAACAACAGAGCACAAACCAACACCTTGGTCGCATATTTGATGCTGATGGATACAGATGGACAGGCAGGCCTTCAGTTTAGTGCGATAGTATTCCAATTAAATATGATTTTATTTGTTGATTTTTAAATATGCACGAGTGAGATGACATAAGTGTGAAGCTAGTAATTGTGTCAAAGTCACTGCATGGGCACATCAGAGGGAGGGACGCTGAGTTGTGATGTGATGATGCCAGTGGCACAAATGTCACCCAATGTGCGTAAGAGTGTCACATTGCCGGGCGGTTATCTAAGGTTGCAATGCGTAATCCACTCATGTAATCCTCTGATTTAAAAAAAATAATAATTCTCAAGAGGAGTATCAGCTGGGAACAGGGCGATTTGTAAAAGAAAAACTGTTTCCGCTTAAATTTTTTTAATACATTTTTTTTGTATTGTTAAAACCGAGAGAATGTTAAGTTTTAAAGCTGCTAAGGCAAACACGGTGAGAGAAAATCAGGAAGCTGAAAATATTTTATGTGAAGGACGTGCAATAAAACATGCAATATCAAATTATTGGCCTATTACGCAGATTTTAGACAAAATCTGCAAAGAAGAATTTTACATTTAAAAGACAAGCATTAAGCATAAAACTATAGGAATATAAATGCCCTTTTCATAAATAAAGGTATTATGTTAGATATCTATGTGTTATTGAAAAGCTTTGGTTTTACACCTTTACGCAGCACATATCTAGTAATAAAATTCAGATTTATTTAATTATATTGATCTTATTTTTACTTACTGCATGGTCCCAAAGCTCTAATGCTCATCACTGTCCCGCTGCAGCTCAAATGCAGCGGCAGGTGTCTATCAGAGCAGAGGGCTGTGGCGCTGCAGCGGTTCGGCACAGAGGTTCTGTTATCGGTGTGATGCGCCACTCCGGCCCAAACCGATTCCCTTCTCCCCTCGCTCAGCAGATTCTCGATGAAAAATGAAGTCCCTTTCGGAGGAGAGGGAACCCAGTCGTCCGCTAGCCTGCCTTGCATGCTTTCTCTGATGTCACTGAGCTGTTACGCAAAGTGCCAGGGGTTCCTTCGGATCGAGCATTATCGGAAGTTCAAGCGTCCATTTCAGGCGTCTCTTCATTTGCTCCTCATTCGCGGTCCAGGCGGGGATCTCCTCCTCGCTCGGGGTGAGCGAGAGACGGGGATGGAAGCAGCATCACACGGAAACACGTCAAGTCCTGTGAATAGTGACTCATCCAGCGATTGGAGGAGCGCGGCGACGAATGAGGCTTTCTGCAGAGAGGAGAACTACTGTCTCGTGCGTGCGTGAGTGTGTTCATGTGCAGACCCGTCCCTCCAGGCCACGCAGAGAAGAGGAATCCTTTCTGTCCGATCGAAGCACTATTTTATTTAGGTCAGTTATGGTAAAAATGATAGGATATCTGGGTAGCAAACAAGTTTGGAGCCAAGGCTATAAGCGCACTGGCGTTATATATATATATATATATATAGATAGATAGATAGATAGATAGATAGATAGATAGATAGATAGATAGATAGATAGATAGATAGATAGATAGATAGATAGATAGATAGATAGATAGATAGATAGATAGATAGATAGATAGATAGATAGATATATATATATATATATATATATATATATATATATATATATATATATATATATATATATATATATATATATATATATAGATAGATAGATAGATAGATGATAGATTGCTAATATTGACTTGATAAGTCAAGACCAGCTAGCGTGGGATCTATAATGCAAAAAATATGCCTAGAGCCTTTAAACGGTCCTTTACTGCCAAAACAAATTGTCTTGATACCTGTTTGGATTTCGAACTTTAATTAGGGATTAAATATAATAGTTTTACAATACTGTCCCTGAAATGTCAACATATCTTTTACATACAAAATTAGACCTAGGCCAACACATGACTGTCCAACCCTAGCATGAGGCATAGAGACAAAATAACGTCAAAATTAAAATACTTTAAGTGGGACTTTTCTCACAATTTCAGTGACTAATATCTCCCACACTCTAATACAGATTGGTCAATGCAACCAAAATATTGATTGAATTTTACCAATCTGGTTGGTAGTTATGTGTCCAACTTTGTTTAAAGCAACCAATCTAATTTGGTTGTGTTTCAATCAATTTATATGGGAAAAAGGGAAAATATTACTTTAGTGATAGTTCAAGGTGTTGCTTTATTGTATGTCTCGTACCATGTCTTTCGGTTGTGCTGTTCTTTTTTCATCTCATTACAGGTGATGAAGCAAACTGAAAATGTTTTGTCATGTTTCATCTTT